TCCTTTCTAAGTGAAACTTCCCAGCTTAGTTAATAACCTTTGGAACTGAATAGTATGTTTACAATCTCATAGAAGTTTAGTGATTAGATGAGTGATAATTAGATTACCCATCAATTACTGTTCTAAACTAACTAAGATTGCTAAATAATAAACCTCTCTTTAAATGACAATAAGAATTGCAAGCAGGGCAGGTCCCATGGCTGAGTGGTTAAGTTTGCGTGCTCCGCTTCAGTGGCCCAGGGTTTTGCCGGTTTGGATCCTGGATGCGGACACGGCACTGCTCATCAGGTCACAGTGAGGCGGCATCCCACATGCCACAACTAGAAGGACATATAACTAAAAAGATATACAACTATATACTTGGGGGATTTGGGGAGGAAAAAGCAGAAAAAAAAAAAGAATTGCAAGCAAATGAGCTCAGATGTTCATAGCATACCAATTAAGTGAAACGATTTAATCAATTTTGGCGGAGTGAGTTGTTCTTTACCAGGATTTGTGAGCTTTGAAGTGTGTGTTCTAGCTGCTTCATTAAATTTGAATGCTTTGAGTTTTAAAGTCACAGGCCAACTATGCCACCTTTGCAGCAGACTTTTTTAAGGAAACTTGATCAGTGTTTCCCACTAAGAGCCTCAATTTTAAGTTTACTTTTCTTATATAAAAATGGGTTGAAGAAGGGGCTGGCCCCGTGGCCAAGTGGTTAAGTTCGCGCTCCGCTGCAGGCGGCCCAGTGTTTCGTCAGTTTGAATCCTGGGTGCGGACATGGCACTGCTCATCAGACCACGCTGAGGCAGCGTCCCACATGCCACAACTAGAAGAACCCACAACGAAGAATACACAACTATGTACCGGGGGGGCTTTGGGGAGAAAAAGGAAAAAAAAAAAAAAAGTACTAAAAAAAAAAAAAAAAAATGGGTTGAAGGGGCTGGCCTGGTGGTGTAGTGGTTAAGTTCAGGCACTCTGCTTTGGTGGCCCAGGGTTCGTGGGTTTGGATCCCAGGTGCAGACCTGTGCACTGCTCATCAAGCCATGCTGTGGTGGCATCCCACATACAAAAAAAATAGAGGAAGATTGCCACAGATGTTAGTTTAGTAACAATCTTCCTCAAGCAAAAAGAGGAAGATTGGCAACAGGAGTTAGCTCAGGGCCGATCTTCCTCACCAAAAAAAATAAATAGGTTGATGGGGCTGGCCCGGTGGCCCAACAGTTAAGTTCGCACCTTGTGCTTTGGTGGCCCGGGGTTCACCAGTTTGGATCCCAGGTGCGGACATGGCACCGCTTTGCAAGCCATGCTGTGGTAGGCGTCCCACATAAAGAAGTAGAGGAAGATGGGCACAGATGTTAGCTCAAGGCCAGAGTTCCTCAGCAAAAAACAGGAGGATTAGAAGCAAATGTTAGCTTAGGGCTTATCTTCCTCAAAATAAATAAATAAATAAATAGGTTGAAAACTATACATATAGTGATGCTGTTCTCTGCAGCATTAATAGCAATAGCTAAAATCTATGAATAAGCTAAACGTCCAGCCACATTCCCAAGAGTGAACTAGACAGTGATAATGGGGCTGTGAGGAGAGGACTGCTGGGTAAAAACTGCCACTTTGGGTGAGTCTCTGGGAAGTGGTCAAAATGTAGCTTGTGGCTGCATGTCACCTCACCTCACTGGTATGTCAGGCCAGCTTGACCCTTCCAGGACAAGTCCAAAGAATTATTTTTTCTCCAAATGATAAATATTTATAAAACTTATTTTGAGTTTCCAGCACCACAGCAAAAGACGCAGGCCAAATTGAAGTCAGTGGAAAACTAAAGATCTTTTTAGATCAAAATCTTTATTCTTAGAAAAGGTCTTGTAGCAGTTCCTTCTTTATAGTTAGTACTGTTGGGATAAAACTCTTGTCAAAACTTTCAAAAACCCAATATCAACCCATCAATGGAAGTGGTAATTATACACCTTAAAAATCTGTAGCAACAAATACTATTCTGATATGAAATCTATATGTTGGACACATTTTGTATGGGGAAACTAGACTTCAGATGCCTCATCTTTATCTACTGAGAAGTACCACAAAAAAGGAGAAAAGAATGTCAAGGGTCTAAAGCAGCACTGTGTGATAGAACTTACTGTGATGGTCAAAATGTCTTCTGTGCTGTCCAATATGGTAGCCTATGTGGCCCCTGAGCACTTGAAATGTGGCTGGTGTGACTGAAGAACTGACTTTTTAGTTATATTTAAATTTAAGTCACAGGTGACTAGTGGCTACCATATTGGATAGGGCTATTCTAAAGTATTTTTTGGTAAATATTTGTGTGGTTTACAGGAAAGAAGCCATGTTACATAGTAAAGTGACAGGTAAATTGGTTGCAGAGTAGTGTGTGGATAACCCTATTTTGCCAAATGAATCAGCTCAATAGGTGGTTGCATTGTCTGTAGAGAATTTAAAAACAACAAAAGCCAACTAAAAGTCTGTCTGTTTTTATTACCATCATATGCCGACAATTCTAAGCAATGTCAGTGATAAAGTACTCCTCTCTGCCAGTGTGGAATGTACTGGTTCCTGCTCTCCCCTTGGTATACAAACGTTCTCCACAATACCTTAAGTATGTATAAGGACAAAAGAAAATCAAATGGATTAGGGTATGTGGTAGCCAATAGAGCTGTTCACAAATAATTTGGTTCTCTCTCTCCTTCCAGGCACATAGTAAGATTTCAATTTCCCACTGTTTGAACTCAGGTTTATCCATGGGACTTACTTTGGACAACTTTCTGAGCAGCTGCTCTAAAAGCCAGAGCATGCTGTACCATGCTCTCTTTGCCCTTTGCCAGGGGCACCTGGAAATGTTCCAGATAGCAGCTATTCCTGTAGCCTGGTTTCTGGAGTAAGAAGCATGACCAACCCTCAATGAACATGTAGTATGTGCAAGAAATAAACCTTTATTATTTTAAGCCACTAAGATTTGGGGGTTGTTTGTCACTGTAGTGTAATCTAGTCTGCCTGACTGATACAATACACCTACTAATTTCCCTTAGGAATTTCAGAATTTAGAGATGGAATCAGAGCTTAGAATTGAAAAGACAAACAGCTGAAATTTCAAAAACTTATTCTACATAAAGTCACCTTTAAGAATCTCAAGAGCAGAGAAACGACGAAGCATAGCAGCAATGAGCTAGCAACCACCCTACAATTCATTTAATATAGCATGGTGCTTAAGAGTGTACGGATTTTGATAGAAAAATGGACAAAGGATTATAATGGAAGGTCATTGTAAAGCAAACACAAGACTCAAATATATAAATGATGTTTGACTACTTATTGAATTAGGGTCAAGCTAGGCTATGCTGCCATAAGAACGAACACAAGTATAAACACAATATATACACTATACAAACTATAAACTCTTCAACACAATAAAGTTTTATTTCTCATTTGTGTGGTCTGCTAAGGGTAGAGAAGCTTTCCTCCATCTTGTAGCCATGCTATTTGGATCTTTGGCCTCCATTGGCCTACCAACTCTTGATTGTCTTGGAGAGAAGTAATATATCACTTTTGCTCCCATTCTAGTGATAAGAATGTCATAAGACCTCTACCTAAACATATAAGAGACCAGGAAAACATTGTTTAGCTGTATGTCCAGGAAAAAAAAGCTATAGTGTGCACATGGCTTTGCCCCTGCCACACTCAGAAGTGAAAACTAGAACTAGGAAATACAATTTCCCTATCAGACTGGCAGAGCAGAATCTCTCTCCTAATACGTATAATTTTTAACTCTGCCATTCCACTTCTAGGAATTTGTCCTACAGACAAACTAAGATATAGGTAAATTTTTTGTAAAAGCAACAGATTGGAAAAAATCTTAAATATTCATCAGTAGGGACCACATTAAATTATGGTACTTCCATATGATGGAATACCCTGCAGTCATAAAAAAAGAATGAGGAATCTCTTCGTGAACTATATAGAAAAAGCTCTGAGATATGTAACTAAATGAAAAAATCAACAATGTATACAATATCCCTTCATTTAGGTAAAAAAGAAAAAATACATGTATTATGTTTATACATTTACGAAAGTATCTCCTGATGAAAATTCAAAAAACTGATCACATTGATTGCCTCCAAAAGAGGAATTAGGGGGCAGGGAGACTTTTACTGTGGACCCTATTGTATCTTTTGAATTCTTAGCCATGTCAATGTAATACCTAATCAAAATTTTAAATTAAGTTTAGACAGGATACGAATCCAAACTGCCACTATCCGTTTGACCTTGAACAAGTTGCTTCATCTTTTTTTATGTCTTAGTTTGCTCATCAGCAAAAGTGAGTTAATATTAGTACCTACCTCTTGTGGGGCTGTTGAGAAAGCGGTTGCTCTAGCCCTAAAGAAAATTCTAGTCAATTTGGGTGTTCGAATCACATGCTGACCTAGAAATAAAGCAAACAGGAACAGTCTGTGGGGTGATCACGGAAAGCCTCTAATGTGACATTTAGGCTCTGGGGAGTTTCCTCATCATAAAGGCATTAGAAAGTGCTTGGTGTGTCTGAGGAACAGCAAGGAAGCTGGGATGAAATTGAGTGAGGACAGCAGTAGGACATGAGGTCACATGGTAGGAGTGGGGGAAGATCACAGAAACTCATTTCCAAGGACTTTAGTTCCCAGCAAAGGTGTGACATAACACAATCCCTCTAGCTGCTGTGTGGAGACGGAACCCTGGGTAGTAAGAGCAGGAGCAAGCCCTTAAGTAATGCTGACTTTTTGCCTGAACCCTCCCTCCCCTTCCCAAACTGGTATCCATTATAGTTTGAAAACTTTTAAATGAGTTTTTCTAACTCATGCAAGGACCAAAGAACCGAGAGAAAATCTCTAAAGACTAAGTACTACATATTTTATTTCCCCTCAAATTGTTAACTGTTTCTGCCATCACGTTTTAATACATTTTGGCAGGTTAGGGTATTTGGTGTGCTTTAAAGCACATTAGTATTTGATGACAAAAGATAACAGAAGGCCCATTTGTTTTAGTTTAATAAACATTTATTCCTTTAGTTGAACAACCTCTACACACAAAATATATGGTTTAAGTTTTTTTTTTGAATGGAAAGGAATTTAGTTCTCAAGCAGTTTTATGAGCCTGCTACACGTTTTCTAGAAATCATTTAACTGAACCTAAGACCCCTGAACAGGCAAAAAACTGGTTTAAGGAAACCAGCAATTAAATTTTGAAATCAAACTGCCTATTTTTAAGTCAGCAAACCCAGAACTGGAAAGAATTGGGGCAACTCCTCTTCTGTATTTCCTATACACTCAAATTCACCCTGGGAGACAGAAGCCCAGTCTACTGGAAGACATGATGCAAACAGAACGTGGTGGTATGCTTAGGGTTAAGTTGGGCACAATTGATGGCCTGGCAAGTTTGTGGAATGGTAAGGATTTTGAGAGTAGTTTGAGCAGGGATGAGAAAATAACTGTAAACACACAAGATTGGAAACCATGAACTCATATCAACACCAACTTTTCTCAGTAGCCTAATGGGAATGAATAAAGTGGGTTGACCCAAGATTACCTGACTGACTGGACTGAGCAACAATGTTATCTTTAAAGCCAACCATTTTTCCCCTAACGTGGCTAAAGAATTCATAATGGTCACTTCAGCACTACAAAGCATTTAAAATTTTCATCAAAGCTGACTTTTTCTATCCTCACACTTGAAAGCTATCTGACGGCCACCAGTTTCCCAGTCCTAGCACTGACGACTAGCTTACAAACCTCAACTTTAATTCCCTTGTCATTCACCTAACGCTCAATTCGCATCAGTTTCAACATATACCAGCGTAAATATCGTTAATACTTGGCACAAAATTCAGTATTCTACAACTCCGTCATGGGAATAAACCAGAAGTCTCCACCTTTTATGTGAACTTCAATTGCACTGTGGAGCCCAAGGTAATTTTGTTTAACCAAAATTTTTAACTTGTAAGAGCACCCTCTTGCAACAGGTTTATTCAATTCTCCTAAAAATGGTGGCATTCTAAACTTTTCTCCTTTCACAAGCAGTGGTTACATAAATGAAATATTAAGACCTAAAAATGTGGACCCTCGACAAGTTTATTTTTCTGCATATGATAATCAGGATATCCTTCACATTTCCAAGCAAAATCCATTTAAAAAATGTGTCTTTGCCAAACTCCAAAAACAGCCAGTTGAGAGTAATCCAGGAGAGCATTGCATCACCCCAATAAAGCTGTAGGTTTCATCACATGCACCAACAAATCTACATGGCTAGTTTCTGCACTCCTGTTACAGAATTTATTTTACACTTATTATACCAAACAGCATTTTAAACACTGACATATAAACTCCCTAATAAGATAAAGCAAAGATGAAAGCATTTATCTTATTAGAAACAAGATACACCGTCACTTATAGTTTTCAAACATTATTGCACTTTAACTTTCATAATTTGACAATGCATTCATGAAACAAACTGCAGACAACTAGTTTTAACAGACAAATTAAAGAACACTTTTAAGCAGACATGACTGTCCTAAATTGTTTATTAGGTAAGAATTTTACAAACATTACTTATATTAGCGGTAACGGTGAAGCTGCAGAGTATTGCGCCTTCTCCAAGCTGCACGGCGAGAACCACCAATAGTGTGGTGGAACTTGTGGCCCTTTCCAAGGCCACGGCTCTTGCGGCCTGCAGATGTCAGCCCTCTCATTTCCCTGTGCTTGTGGACTGGTTTGGTGATCCACTGGGTATCAGGATTTCTTCTAATAGCCTTATGGAATGGATCAATGAGGATCACCTCAAAGAATTTGTATGTGGAATCTTCGCCAACCCAGTAAGAATTCAGAACTCTCAGAGCCCCACAGTGGCGTCCAGCTCGTTCCTAGAATAGGAAAAAAGGCCCAAAGTCAGCCTCCCACACTTCCCATAGTATCAAACAGGAAGAATTCTCTAGTTCACCACTAGGTGAGACTGAGGCCATTAGGCTACTTAGCTGCTCAAATATTTATCAAGCATCTCCCCAGAGGCTGGGACCCTAAGTATGATAAAGCAGACTTACTAAAATAGCACACACAAACATCCTTAGATTTGAAACCATTCCCTCTTACTACCTGCCCCCCCAACTAAGGCATAAATGTTAAAACTTAGGATTCTGGAACCTCATCTTTTCCTAATAAAGAGGTCAACAAACTTACAGAAAACTTTAATATTTAGCATATTATGTTAGGCTTTGCCAGTCACAGCGGTCTCTTTGCCTTTTCTTTTAAAAATAACATTTTTAGCTCATGGGCCCTTGTTTGCCAACCGCTACAACAGAGCATAGCTTATTTACTAACCCAGAAAGCAAGCTTATAACTGACCACAGAAAAATCAGTGATACAAATAAATGCAGTTTCTATACACCGGGGGAAATGTGCCCTCTGAGACAAAGTTTACTGCCCTTCAATAGCTTCGGTTCCAGAGGTCTACGCTAATCATAAAACACAATTTCCAATATGTGAGCAGAGACATTAAATCAGTAACAAAAGACAAAGTCTTTGACGTTAACTCTTTACCAAGATTAGTTAAGTAAAAAAAAAAAAAATCACAAACCCCACAGGACTCACTTGCATACAAGCTAATCAGGAGAGCTGCTGAAATCCTTCTCCACCAACCCCAGGAGGTGCCAATCCAACTGCTACTCAAAACCACTCACCTCGGCAACAGACTGAAGGCTTCGAGCAAACTTGAGCTGGTTAACACCATGATGCACAGGCTTGCCGTAGGTCGCGCCCTTAGGAACGGGGCGTTTGCGGCCACCACGGCGCACACGAATGCGATATATGACATAACCTGTACGAAAAAAATTTACAAGGGTCTTATAAAAGCCGTAAGGGTGGAAGATCCAACGACATGTCACTTACGCCCCAACATCAATTATATTTCACACCACACGTCAAATACTGTTACCTCTAATGTAAGCAAAACTAATACCCGTTTGAGACTCATTTCACGTTAATCACAGAGGTAGAGTCATTTCTCACTCTACACTGTTATTTTGCTTTAGTCTAGACTCACACGATTTGCAATCTACGACACACTTGCTACTTCAGACAACTGGGAGCACATAATCCACCGGCCAACAACCTCTATGCGCTGCAGCTGAAGGCGGTTTCTGCCAAAGCCCTATGTGAAGACAGACATGGGCGCGATGGCAGCTCTTCCTCATCACCGGTTTCCAGCTTGCCCTGCGAAATATTTTATCGAGGCGTCCACGCAGACACCACTCACCTTGCTTGGCCTTGTAGCCCAGTCTGCGCGCCTTATCGGGCCGGGTGGGGCGGGGCGCCCTGTGGAGCGCCGAGAGCTGGCGGTACTGCCAGCAGCGCACCCTGAGAAGAAATCGCATCACGTCCGACTGCTTCTTCCTCCATAGCTCCTGGATGTACTTGTAAGCGCCCATCTTGGCTTACCTTTGAGATAAACCGCCTATTAAAAACATATCCCTTTAAAGTCTAACAAGACCCCGTCCGTCCATCTTAGTTCCTCATCAACCACAAGGAAACCACTGAGGATGAAAATGGCTCTGCACGCAGCGCGGGGAAAAGCCAGCCCCGATCCCACCTCTGCGACCGCCAGCGCGCAGCAGCGCAGGCAGGCCTCGGGCACATTTCTGCTAGACGAAATGAATGGAGCCAGACTCGGGCACTGAGGGGCGGGTGACTGCGGCAGGCGGCGTCCCCCAGGGCCCGGCCTGCAGAGACCTCGCCGACACCACAGGGGAAGGCGCTACCGCCGCCGCCAACTTAACTCTCGAAGAAAAAGCACTTACTCTACCTAACCCGCCGGCCTGGCTTTACGACGCCCTAGGCCCGGCCCCATGCCTCCCTTCACGCTCCAGGCCCAGCTCGAATTCGCGCCGCCATCACAACATCCCCCCCACAGCCCGCCCCGGGGGCCGCCTCTCCACGCCCGGGCTGCCCCACATCCTGATCGAACTCGCGCCGCACAGAAGGCAGGAGAAACTCCGAGGACGCAGGGTCCCCGAGCCTGGATGGCCGTGGCAAAGGGAGATCCGCGGCGGATGGACTACTGAAAAACTCCAACACAGCCTACCTGATGGCTGCCGCCAGACGGAAAGGAAAGAGCCTTTCTCCCACAATCCCTTTTGGGCTCCTCCCCCACCTCAGCAAGCCTCTTTCCGGTGGAAAGCTGCGGCCACCCGGAGCCTCATGGGACATGTAGTTCCGGCAGAGAGCCTGGTGGGCGGAGTTCGGCAGGGATTGGGTGCAGCCTCCTCTATTGTCCCGCCCCCTGCTCGTCAGGATTCGAGTTTGAGAGGCAGGGGCAACCCGAAACTGGTGAGTCCGCGGCGAGGCCTCGGCGGGCGAGCATCCTATACAGTCGCGCCGCCGGGAGGAGGCAAGGTGGGGGCGGGGCTCCCGTGGCCGAGGTCCGCCGTGGAGGCGCGCAGCCGGCGCGCCGCTCTCTTCGGCGTCTGCGGAGGGGTCCAGGTCTGTGTCGTGAGGAGTGGGGGCCGCTTCATCGAGGCAGCGTCTTCGCCTGCGGCGTGGCTGTGGCTTCCCGGTGCCGTCCCCGTTCTCACCCCGGACGGGCGCAGAGATCCGGGACCCGGGGCGGCTCGGACGGTCCCCCGCGACGCCGCCCCAGCCGCCAGAGAAGGCGTTTGCGGTGCGGGGCTTCGCGGGTGGAGGGTCATTCGGGTCGATTCCGCTTTAGCCCCCGCAGGCCCCAGCTCAGGGATTTTGCACTAAAAAGGGTCCGTGGGGAGGGAGAGCGCTGGCGGCTTGGCGCTTTTCCATTTCCGTGCCTTTCCTGCCTACGGATTTGGTCCCAGATTGGTACGTCAGAACCACAGTTTTTTAGATTTATTTGCCAAGACCTGGTTGGCAAGTGCGAATGTTTCGGGCAGAAATACCGAGAAAATGCTGGCGTTTTGTGTTGCGTTCGTTATGGAAAAATAGGTGACTACGTCTTTTGCGTCTCCAGAATATTTTCATTTTTGATGCAATCATGTGGTTTAATTCTCTTAACAAATTCTAAGTGTGGCCAGGGTTTAAGAGAATCTTGTTTACTTTCTAAATCATTAGCTGTTTTGGTTATTTTTCCCCTCATTTCCTATTTTCCCTTTTTTTTTTTGTCACAGCTTTACCACTGTAAGAATCCTCATATGGTTCATTGATTCATTCAACGAACCTTTATGAAGTGCCTGATATGTGCCAGGCAGTGTCCCAACTGCTGAGGATGCAGCAGTGGTCAACGCAGAAATTCTAGCTTTCTTGGAAACAGGCTTAAGTAAGACATGTATTATGTTAGGCGGTAAGTGCTAAGGACCAACATTAAGAGGAGAGTAAGGATAAGGGAGTGTTGGAGTGGGAGTCGAAAGTTTGGACAGAATGTTCATGGTAAGTCTCCTTGATGAGTAACATTTGAGAAAAGACATGAACGATGTGAGCCTTGGAGAAGTGGGCACTGATTCCACGCGGAGGGAAAAGTGCCAAAGCTGGAGTATGCCTGGAACAGCAAGGAGGCATTGTGGCTGGAATTAGCCATAGGAGAAACTAGCAGATGACATCAGAGAGGCCAAGGTTCTTATGAGGATTTTGGGTTTTCAAAGTGCCTGAGATTGGAAACAATGGGAAGAATTTGAGCGGAAGGGTCACTTCCTGTGGCTTAACATTTTTAAAGGATCTTATGGATTGCAGCTTTGAGGCTAAACGGAAGAACAGAAAAAGTGGAAACAGAGAGACTAGTTAGGAGGTTTTATTAATTTCCTTTTGCTCCTGTACCAATATACAGCAAATTTACTGGCTTAAAATAATACAAATTTATTGTCTTATAATTCTGTAGGTCAGAAATCTCACTAGGCTAAAATCAGGTTGTCAGTAGTGCCATATTCCTTTTAGAGGTGAGAGGGGAGAATCCATTTCCTTGCCTTTTCCAGCTTCTACAGGCCACCTGCATTGCTTGGCTCCTGACCCTTTCCGTCATCTTCAAAGCCAGCAGCATAGCATCTTCAAATCCCGGTCTTTCTCTCTTGCTTTCTGACATTCTTGTCTCCCTCATAAAAAGACACTTGTGATTACATTGGGTCCACTCAGCTAATCCAGGATAATCTCTTCATTGCAAGGTTCCTAATTTAATCACAGCTGCAAAATCCCTTTTACTATGTAAAGTGAAATACTCATAGGTTTTGGGAATTTTGACACAGACATCCTTGAGAGAGCAGGAGATGAGAAGATGGTACCTGGGACCACTTCATTAGTGATGGAGGTTGTAAGTGGTCCCCCCTTGGATGTATTTCAAGGTAGACGATTTACTGATGGATCAGACATGGGGTGTCAGAAAAATGGGTCAAGAATGATTGACTACAAATCATTTAGAAAAAAGATTCTGGCAATGTGAGTAATGACTGCTAATTTCTTAGTTTCTGTGGTTTTGTTTCTTAATTTGCCGTTAGCAGTTTCTCAGGAGTTTTGCAAGATTTGGATTGGTATTTCCAGTTGATTTTTGAGATTCTTGAGGCAGGGATCATTTCTGGTTTTGCTCCCTAGTTTTTCCCTAATGCCTGGCATTATGGTAAGCCCTCAGTAAATATTTACTGGATGAATAAAAGAATGGTAAGCTGGAATCAGCTTATTATATTTTATTATGTTCACTATTATTTGCAAAACCCTTTTAATGTGTGTTTATGTATTTATGTAAAATGTCTTTATATATGGATAAGTCAAAGTATTGCACACAGTACATGGTGTTTACATAAATACACAGTGTAGAAGTTTTCCCCATGTGATGCTTACATAATAAGATCTATCTATAATATCTCTCTATAATGTTAACAGTGTCTCAACATTAATATTTTTCCGATTGCATAAACAGTTCTTTAGATAGAAGAACAGAAGTACTGACAATTTGGAGGAGCTGTTTCTGATGGCCCTTCAAAGAGAATATTGACCAGGTCATGTTTTTATTCTCTAGCAACACTAGATTTGATTTGGAAAGCAAAGCAATATGTATTTAAAACTGCATTGGATTTTGTCTGTTAAGCACATTCTCTTAGTCATATACATCAGATGAAGATTAATAGGTCACAGATTGATTTTTTCTTTTTTTTTTTTGCTGAGGAAGGTTCACCCTGAGCTAACGTCTGCCACCAGTCTTCCTATTTTTATATCTGAGCCGCTGCCACATCACAGCCACTGACAGATGAGTGGTGTAGGTCAGTGCCTGGGAACTGAACCTGGGCTGCTGAAGCCAAGTGTGCTGAAGCAGAGTGTGCCAAACTTAACCATTAGGTCACCAAGGCTGGCCCCGTCACAGATTGAATTTTATTGTGCAGCAGTTTCTTAGGGTAGGGACTGTAACAAGTAGCTCTGACTGCTGCATTTTGCATTAACCTCAGTGTTGATGCAGTTTCTGGGTAAGCAGTTTCTGTTCTCACAGTATCACAGTGTTAGAAGGAACCTTAAAGGTCCTTCATCTGTTCTGGAGCCTTTCAGACTCTTGAAACCTAGATTTACATTGGAGGCTTGGCCACCTGCAGGATCTGTTCACGTGGTTCATTTCCTGTTCAGATGCTGCAGATGGCCTCCTTTATCAATTTGGAAGGAAATGGTGTATATTTATTCTGTTTGGGAATTATGAAATATTATAATGCTTAGAGAACTAAGTTTTTAGTAGTTTTTATGTATAAATCTGAATATCTGTAAGCATGAGAACCATTCCTTATGCATAATGTGAATCCCCACTGTCACGATCATATTTGGAAACTCAAGTATTTTTGTATGTGTATTTGATGTAATTCATTCAAAATCTTACCTTAGATATTAACTTTTTAAAGAACTCAAACTTTTTTTTTTTGAGGAAGATTAGCCCTGAGCTAACATCTGCTGCCAATCCTCCTCTTTTTTGCTGAGGAAGACTGGCCCTGAGCTAACACCTGTGCCCATCTTCCTCTACTTTATGTGAGGGACACCTACCACAGCATGGCTTGCCAAGCGGGTGCCATGTCTGCACTCAGGATCCAAACCGGTGGACCCTGGGCTGCCGAACCTGAACATGGGCACTTAACGGCTGCACCACAGGGCCAGCCCCAGAACTCAGACTTCTTAATTGATGGTGCCAGGTCACTAATCTTCAGTTTTATATGTAGTAGTATTGTTTCCCGTTTGAAAAGAACAAGGAACCTAGAATGTTTCAGCTCTGCTTTGGTTAATCACACATACCCTTTCATCTTTGTTTTCTTTTTGACAGTGTAAAATATTTAACACGGCCGATTCTGTCTTACCTCTTCCCATCTCTTTCCTTTCTAAAATACTTTAAAATCCTTACCTAGTGTTTGAGTTACCTCTATTCTGTTACTTTTACTGTTTGCCCTTGATGGAGACTTCTCTGATATACCAAAACAAACCCCCTAATTTATTTATTTATACACACACACATAAATTAATACATATTTTTAACAGACTTTATCTGCTCATCCTAATATCAATGAGTGATCAAAGTACAATTGTAGCATACCACTTTTAAAGCAGATGTATTAAGACCACTTCCAAAGACTCTTGGAATAATTGACTTGTGAATTTCTCAGGATTCTATTGGTTTCAGCATTTCTCCAGTTTGCTGCAGTCTCCAGCGCTCATAGTTGCCTCCCCTTTTTAGAGGCCTGTTAATCACTGGGTGTTTTTTTCTTATAACTGCCTGCTTTACCCAAGTACAGCGTGTACCCGCCCCTGTAGAGCACTTGAATTTTCTTGAAGATTGGTATAATGTGTGGTAAAGTGACAGTTTTTTGATTGAACAGGAAGGGGAGAGGAGGTAAGGATTGGCATTTAGAAATTCTCCTGGGGCTAAGACATTTTTAGAGGAAGGGAAATAACAATACAAAAACCAGAATTTAGATTCCAAGAATAACATTTTCTGACAACAGAATTGTTCTGTGCTGCCATCATTTTTATCTTTTGGCAGATTTATTTCTTTTTCATCCTCTTCTCATGTGGTTAGGTGGCAACTTCCTTTAAATTTTAACTATTATCATTAAAAACCCTTTGAAAGATTGATTCAATGGTGTCATAACTTACAGGAGACCACAATATGCAGAGAGAATAGAATCCTATGATAAATGAGATGACATTAAATTAATCATAAATTCAGAGGTACGTGTAGAAAACCTTTTAAAATAGGCCATAGCTGCTGACATAGGAGATACCATACCATGGATGATCAATGTGACACAAAGCTGTGCCCTTATAAATAAAGCCTGAGAATTTTTCTATTGCAGTTATGTTGAAAATATAAAGAAAAGAAAGTGCCCTAAGAGCAGTGGCTCTCCTAGAAGCAAGTGATTATTCTTGATAAGATTTAGAAGGATTCCAAGCATACCACCCAGGAAGTAATGGTTGTATCACATAAGTGATGATTATTTCTCTACTGGTAAAATGTAGTGTATGGCTCTGAGAAAGAGTGCTGTGTTATTACTGCACTACAATAATGTTAGCCTTAACATTTTTCCTGTCAGCAGACTAGTGTTTTGGCTGATTTGGGTCATAAAAAATTACAGACTTTGAAAAAATTAAGTAGAGAAGACTTATGGGAAGTTCATTTGTTGCTTCATGTTTTCAGTGTTGGTAAGAAAACAAACCAACCAGTAGTGATGCACAACACACGTGCATACACAGAAGGATACCTGGTATTCATTTTATGTGAATGCTGATTTGAACTTTCTTGTCGTAGTTGTTTTCTGACTTAAAGGAGTTGTGGTATCCCTTTTAGTCAGAGTTATTGCGTGTTCTGCAGTTCCAGATGAGAAGAATTGGGGGAAATAAGGAGGTGGTGGGAGATGGCAAAGGCAATGTGGAAATGTAAATTCTCTTTCCAGGTTATTCTGTTGTATTTGATGAGCCGTTTTTCATTTCTGCCTTGGCTGCTGTTACTTTGCCTTCTGGAAGATAAAACCTCTGAGGAAAAAATTGAAGAAAATGTTACCTGTTCTTGCTTTTCCTTGGATATGTTAGGAAGCTAGGAAAAGTTTTGCTTTTCTTACTGGTTTAAAGTGCCTGAGCAATTTTTCTAGCATCAGGAAGTATGACTCAAAGTATGACTAAGAGAACCCATGTGGCTACCAAAATCCAGTTTCCCACTCTCCTGAGAAAAGACTGACAGTAGCATTAATAGCAGTAATGTTTCTTTAAAAAAATCATGTCCATTCTCTATCCAGATTTTTATCTTCATGCTTCCTTAAACTTTTGCTTAAATGTTTATTTTTTCAAGTAAATATTGACAAGCAGGCAGTTTCTTTCAAGGATTGGTTTCATCTAGGATTCTATCTGAATTCCTATAGACTCAATTAGTATTGAAATATTCTTTGTATAAAATGTATTTGTTATTTTTGAAAACAAACGTGGATTCACATCTATATGTGTAGTCTTAGGTTTACCTAGATTACCTCGGCAAAGATAGAAGAAACTGGTAACACTGATTGCTCTAATGGAGCAAATGGGAGACTAGAAAGGGAGTTTGGAAGGATGTACCTTATTCTATATATGTTTTTTTATATTTGAAATTTCTTGTCATGTATGTATGGCTTATTAAATTTAAACTTAGAAAGAAAAAGAAAAGGTTGATTTCAACAGTATACAATTTTAAAGATCTTCTCTTCTCTTCACAGTGATATCCTGAGACAGGATGGGAAAGGGCTGCAGGGTTGTGGTTTGTGGCTTGCTATCTGTGGGGAAAACAGCAATTTTGGAGCAGCTCCTTTATGGGAATCATACTATTGGTAAGATTGTTTTTCTCTCGTTTCTCTGTAGGTTCTGGGAACTGTTAGGGGTCTGTGGTGGTACACGAAAGTGAGGTGTAGTCTAGAGGGACCAAAAGGGTCATAGAAGTCAACAAAAATTGAGGGGGGCAAAAATGGGGGAGAGAAAAAAACATTTTTATGTTATTGAAATTCAAGAGTGTTTGCTGTAAGTTATAACAGTTAAGAAAACAACTGTATATATCTCTCGTTTGTATATATGTGTTTCCTGTATATTTACATAATGAATAGTGGTCTTGGAGTCATAGCATCAGTCACTTAGGAATATCCTGAATGATCTCTCGTTCTTATTTCAAACATGACTTTCCAGTACTACTGTATAGGTTTTAAAAATGGAAGAAACAGCTGTTTGCTGCAGTGTGACCTAACTTTATGAGTTGGATTATCTCATTCATTTATTCATTCATGGAGTTAAACAATTATTAAATACTTGCTATATGATACAGGCTGTGATGAGGCCTTGTGAGGATACAGAAATGAAGACAACGGCGTCCATGGCTTTAAGGAGGTCATGGTTTAGTAAGGAAGACAGACGTTACGGTTTAGCATAAAATGAGGTTTATGTTAGAGAGCGAAGTAGAATCTTAGATCTTTGAAGTATTTATCTCTGGCAAGTAGCTTAGAGGGCATTTCTATCTTACTTTTATTAATCATTTTGATGAGCTCTGCTTCTCTTCCACCTTCCCAAAATAATATTTAACAATTTTGGTTAAATCCACGTTGAGTTTTTATCATTGATGCCTGTGCCAGCAGTTCTCAAACATTTTGGTTTCAGAATCCCTCCTGTCACAAATCTTGCTCTTAATGTTTTGCCTCCAGATACTAATTTATGTCTGTGCAAAAAATAAATTATGCTGGGGGTGGAAAAAGAAAAGAATCCCTTTACCCTCTTAAAACTCTAAATAGCTTTTGTTTATGTTGGCTATATCTTTTGATATTTTTATTGTATTAGAAATTAAAAAAATATTTGTTACTTAAAATAGTAACAGTAAACTTATTACAGCTAAGATAACATATTCTTATGAAAAATAATTATATTATCAAAAAACTTGGAAGATGAGCATTGATTTACATTTTTGAAAATCTAATGTCTACCTTAATAGAAGGCAGCTGCATTATCATATCTACTTGCTTTTATGTTCAATCTGTTGTGATATGTTGTTTTAGTTGAAATACATGAAGAAAATCTGGCCTTACACAGATATATAGTTAGAAAAGGTACGAGTATTTTAGTAGCCTTTCCAGATAATTGTGAATATTCTTCTTTGATATTTCACTAAAACTCAACAAGTGATGGTTACTTAAAGCTTATTGCAATGTGGAATCTGAAACCACATCAGTGACCTTTTCCTGCTGTATTACATTAAAATCTCATTGATCTATCTTGCACTTTAAATGGGTTTTTTACCCAACATGGTTTTTTAACATCCTGAATTGGTCAGTTGGAAAATACTGGTTTACTGAGATGAGCAGATCTTCCAAATTAACAATTATTGATATCATCCCCAGTCTCATCAGTATTAGGAAGCTGTCAAGTTCATGGTGATGGATACAATTCTGATTTCACTTAAAAGCTCAAATTTTATCATTGACAACAAATACTGTCAGTTATTTTCCTTGAAATGATAGGTTGCCTTTATTCATTTTTTAGAAAATGTGTGTCAAATACCCTGAATAAACATGTTTTTCTGTCATTCCATCTTTTTTAATAAAAGTGGCTAGTTCAGCTTGCAACTCAAACACAAGAGTTTTTCCTCTGGACAATTACCATAATTTGTTATGCAGAAATACTTTATGCCTACTTCCCATTAATCACATAGAATATTAAAAAGATGCAAAGATGTATTCTCAAGGATTGAGGTTTAATAAAATTAGTAATTTTTACTGCTTCATCAAGGACATTTCTTAAGTGAAACTGGCTTTTTTTTTTTTTTTGAGGAAGATTAGCCCTGAGCTAACATCTGCTACCAGTTCTCCTCTTTTTGCTGAGGAAGATTAGCCCTGACGTAACATCCATGCCCATCTTCCTCTACTTTATATGTGGGATGCCTGCCGCAGCATGACTTGACAGGTGGTACGTAGGTCTGTACCCGGGATCTGAATTGGTGAACCACTGAATCGGTGGGCCACTGAAGTGGAATGTGCAACCTTAACTGCTGCGCCATCGGGCTGGCCTGAAACTGGCTTTTTTTTTTAACTGCAAGTATGAGATGGTGAACAACACAGCTAATACAGTTGGTGCTACTGCCTTGATTGTACTAAGGCACCAGCAGTTTTACCCACCGTTGCTTTTGCATCAAGTACAAATGTCAACACAGTGGAAAAGGCAAATGTCTTAGTATTGTTATGAAAATAGTTTTGCCCATGTGTATTCCCTGAAAGGAGACCTCAGTGGATCTGTAGACCACACAGATCTACAGATCTACACAGAGAGCTACTGGCACATGTAAATATTCTCAGCTGAGCAGTATGGTGTACTATGATTGTTTCTTTTCTTTTTGTTTTTATGGAAGCTAACATTTGCTTTATTTGTCATTTCGTTAGTTTTGTTTATACCTTTGGCTAATTTTTCCACATGTCCAGATGTTTCTCAGTTTTCCGTGAGGTCAGCTAAATCAGTTAATCCTTTTTTTTCTTGGAGGTACCCTTCCAGGAGCAAGCAATCCTTTTATGTAGGCCTTTTGCACAGATGTCACCGTGGAACTTCCCTTTACCTTTCTTTCTTCCTGGGTTTGATTCCCTGCTTCCTAGATGTCTTATCATCTTTTGGTTTATGCCCTTCTTTTGGTGGAGCATATCTTCCAGTATAGTCATGCATCACTTAATAGTGGGGTTATGTTCTGAGAAATGTGTGATTAGGCAATTTCGTCATTGTGCGAACATCACAAGAGTGTACTTACACAGACCTAGATGGTATAGCCTACTTCACACGTAGGCTGTATAGTACTCCTCTTGGGGGACCACCATTGTATGTGCGGTCCATTGTTGACCAAAATATTATTATGCAGCTCATGACTGTACTTTTTTTGGGGTTGAAAAGATTGTACAATGGAATGGGGCACTGGGTGATGGTAGTCCTCAAAATGCCCTCTATGCCTGGCACATGGCACTAATCTTGGGGCTTCTAAGTAGAGATATTTACTATGGTCCCTGTGATTCCATTTACTCCTGTGTTACCTTCTGTTTTCTGGATCCAGTGTCATCTTCTTTCTATGATTACATGCTAATTTCGATGGAGGCTTCCTCAGTTTGCTGAGAAAATGTATGTGATACATTTTTTCAGGCATCACATGTTTGAAAATATCTTTATTTTACACTCACAATTGAATTATAATTTTGAGTGTAGAATTCCAGGTTGAGAATAATTCCTTTTCAGTATTTTTAAAGCGTTGCTCCGTTATCATCTTTTATCCTTCTCTATTATAAAATGCATCATATACATAGAAAACTGCATAAAACACATAGACGGCTTAATGAATAATTATAAAAGAAACCTTTGCATAATCTCCATGCAGGTCAAAAAGTAGAACCTTGAGGGCACTCTAGTAGCCTCCCATGTTCCTCTCTCCAATCACAACTCAGCCCTTCCCTTGACTTTTGGTCAATCAGTTCTTTCTCTCCTTTATAGTTTTGCCACCTATGTATGTATCACTAAAGGATATAGTTTACTTTTGCCTGTTACTGACTTTATATCAATGGAATAATACTGTATAAATTCTTCAGTGTCTGCCTTCTTTCACTCAATAGTACATCTGTAAGACTCATCCATGTTGTAGGTAGCTGTGGTTTAATTATCATTGCCTTATAGTATCTGTTGTATGAAGACACTTCAATTTATTTATCTCTTCTATCTTGATGAACATTTGGGCTGTTTATAGTTTGGGGCTGTTAGAAATCATGCTGTAGTGAACAGTCTTGGACATATATGCCACCTATTATGTGGGCAAGTTCTGGGGGGGGTGTATCTGGGAGTGAAATTGCTGCTTCATAGAGGATGTCTATCCTCAGTTTTACCAGATTCTATTATCTTCTTGCTTCTAGTGTTGCTTTTGAGATGCTGGGAGCCATTATCATTCTTGATGCTTTGGATGTGGAAGCTTTTGTAGGCTCTTTTTTTTGTCCCCAGTATTCTGAAATTTCATAGTGGTGTATCATAGGATTAGTCTGTTTCCATCCATGGTACCGAGCATTCAGTGGGCCCTTTCAATATGGAAATGTTTGTCTTCAGTTCTGAAATTTTTTTTTTTTTGAGGAAGATTAGCCCTGAGCTAACATCTGCCGCCAATCCTCCTCTTTTTGCTGGGGAAGACTGGTCCTGAGCTAACATCTGTGCCCATCTTCCTCTATTTTATGTGGGATGCCTGCTGCCACAGCCTGGCTTGACAAGTGGTATGTAGGTCTGCACCTGGGATCTGAACTGGCAAACCCCGGGCTGCTGAAGCAGAATGTGCGAATTTAACTGCTGTGCCACTGGGCTGGCCCCTCAGTTCTGAAATATTTTGTTGATGCTTTCCCTCCTCTTTGTTCTCTGTTCTCTCTTTCTGGAACTCTCTTTTTGGAAGCTAGACTTCTGGACTAGTTCGCTAATTTTTTTATTTCTCCTCTTCTATTTTCCACTCTTAATATTTTGTTCCACTTCTTGGGAGTTAACATCATTATGTTCTAGCCCTTCTACAGAGGTTTCACTTCTTATTATTCTGTTCTCTTTTCATGGATGCACTGTCTTCTCTCTCTGAGTATAATATTGAGTAATTTTTTTGTTTTTCTTTTCTTTGTAGTCTTTTCCCTCTAAGGTGCTCGTTTCTGATTTTTGGTCTCTCCTTTCCTCCAGGTATCTGGTAGTCCTTGGTTGTCTGCTCATAATTAAGAGTGGAGAACTAAAAAGCTAACCAAAAGCTCTAAGCATGTGGACAGGGTTCATGACTTTGAACTTCACTGTAAGGTGATCTGGGTGGGGCCTTGTTGAGCAACCCTAGATGTTAGCATATTTAGGATTTTTCCTATTTTGCTGGCCAGATTCCCCAAATTCCTCTGCCTGGAGGATAAAGACCTGGCTGCTAAAGGTTTGGGAGCAGAGGGAGGTTGACACTTAATTGCCCCCTGTTTTCACTATGGAACTCAGACCCTCTATCCCACAGTCCAGGCATCCTCTATTTTACCCTCTCTAGAGCTTGCACCCTTAGTCTTCTGCAGGTATGGAGGAGTGGTAGTTGCCCAATGGCATGGAGTGGGAGAGTGGATCTAGGGAGCTAATGGAAGAGCCATGACTTTGGTTGATTTATAGAGTAACAAAATCTCAAAAGGTTTAAGCTTAATGGGGCAAGGAGGGGAACCAGACTGTTGTTTGGTGGATAAAACATCCACTATGACAAAAGTCTTAATAGTTTTTGCCTTGAAATTATTTTGTAGTCAAAGCTCAATAAATTTGTGTCTTAATAGAATAAGCTTTAATTTCCGTCAGGTAGCTTAATATATCACAGCATGAGATATATACTCAAACCTATGAGTAATTTTCCCTTACTAAACATTGAACACGTTCCTTAATGTAAATAATTATGCTGATAAAAGTGAATTTTTGGTTTCTCATGGTCCAATCGATTTATCATTACATCATTATTCCTTTTAATACTTTATGGAGATTTTATTTAATACTTATAAACAGTTCATGTAAGGCACCTGTAACAAATCATTCTACAGTATTTAGGTTGTTTAAAACTCTTGCCATAGTTTTCAAAAACCTATAATATAGTATGCTTTATTGGTATAGGATGTTATCCATATGATTTTACCTCTGGATATAGCTCATATTTAAATATGAAAGTGGGTACAGGGACCATACTATACCTTTCTCATCATATGCCTCTAGCACTCATTACAATTCCAAGTGTTAATCTTCTCCCCTTAATCCCCTTATCCACAAATGATTATTGAATACATGCTGTGTACACAGAATAGTTCATTTCTCTCAAGGAAGTTATAGACTAGTTGAAGAGACAAAACCTGCACAAATGGAGCAAACTAAAATGCATTTTAAAAGGATCACTCAGGCAAGAAGGGAACTGAAATTGGGACATCAATTATGAGCTCATTCATTCATTCAGCAAACATTTATTCAGGACTTTCTAGGTCAATTTTTAAGTCAATTTGTTAGTCCTCAGAGCTATAAAGATAGATTAGCCACAGTCCTGGCTCTCAAGGAGTTTATACTCCAGCTTCAGAGGGGACAGATATGGAAAGATTTAAGTATAGAATGGTATTGTGGGCCAGCCCCGTGGCATAGTAGTTGAGTTCACACACTCTGCTTCGGAGGCCTGGGATTCACCTGTTCAGATCCTGGACATGGACCTACACACTGCTTATCAAGACACAGTGTGGCATGCGTCCCACATAGAAAATAGAGGAAGATGGGCAGGGATCTTCCTCAGCAAAAAGAGGAGGATTGGTGGCAGATATTAGCTCAGGTCTAATCTTCTTCAAAAAATAAATAAATAAAATGGTATTGCCTGTACACGGCACAATAGGAGCAGAAAGGAGGGAAGGGGCTAATCAGGAGAGGAGGACCCACAGAGCTGACATTTCAGAAGAGTCTGGAAAGGATACTAGGAGTTAACTGAGCTACTGCTGTAGTTCAGGTGAAGATACACCAATGGGAATGAAAGGAGGCAGTGGCTTGAGCAGATGTTTCAGCAGTAAAGTGGCTGATTTATAACTTTCACTCACACTTTCAGTTTTCAAAGAGAACTTTGAAGACTGCCCAGGTGGATGGTGATGAAGGGAAGAAGGCAAGGAGGAGGAACAGGTGTAGGGAGGAAAGATAGTAAGTTTTGCTAGTTTGAAGTACTTGCAGGACATTCACATAAAAGTGCAAAGTAGGCACTTGGGAATTAAGGCCTGGTGCTCAGGCCCAGACTGGACATGTACATTTTTGAGTCCTGTAAACAGACCCTGGAAATAGTGGAAGTTGTACAAAAAAAAGCTAACAAATTTCCCCCAGGTCTTGTCCTTGCCTCTGATGGACAAGAAAATGGGGCCACTTAGTTGTTGAAGCTACTTTTTTTTTTTTTTGAGGAAGATTAGCCCTGAACTTACTGCTGCCAATCCTCTTTTTGCTGAGGAAGCCTGGCCCTGAGCTAACATCCATGCCCATCTTCCTCCACTTTATATGTGAGACGCCCACCACAGCATGGCTTTTGCCAAGTGGTGCCATGTCTGCACCCAGGATCCGAACCGGCAAACCCTGGGCCGACGAGAAGTGGAACGTGCGAACTTAACTGCTGCGCCACTGGGCCAGCCCCTGTTGAAGCTACTTTTAAAATCAGCCTTTAATTCTCCAATTTAGGTATTAAGTTCTTTGACTCTTATAACAATACTTTTTAAAAATATGTAATAGTAAATCTTGTTGCCAAATTTTTATTTCTACTTTTATTTCTATCCAGAAGAAATATTTTTAAAAAGCATGTTGGTCATTTACTGTACTACCTTTCACTTTAAGGAAGTTAGTAAATGAATCTTCTTATATATAGTATATAGGGAACATAGAAAGCCAACTTGCTGAATGACAAGAAAATATTCAGCAGTTAGTACTGAGTTATCCAAAAAGTAATTTCTTTTTTTCTTATTGAGGTATAATTGACATAACATCATATACTTTCAGGTGTACAATGTAGTGATTCGATATTTGTATATATAAAAGTAATTTCTTTTTAATCCCAGGAATGGAAGATTGTGAAACAATGGAAGATGTGTATATGGCTTCAGTGGAAACGGATCGGGGAGTAAAGGAACAGTTACATCTTTATGATACCAGAGGCCTACAGGAAGGTGTGGAGCTGCCAAAGCATTATTTTTCATTTGCTGATGGCTTTGTTCTTGTGTACAGTGTGAATAACCTTGAATCCTTTCAAAGAGTGGAGCTTCTGAAAAAAGAAATTGATAAATTCAAAGACAAAAAAGAGGTAAGTGGGTATGTGAAAAATGCCAAATGTGAATTATAATACTGTTTAAGTTGTAGCATGGACTTCTGGGCAGTTAAAATATTTTAAAAGCGCTAAATTGTATCCACAGTATCTGTAATCTTCATAATTTTTTTTCTTAGTTCAGGAAATACAGTCAGGACCAGCATTTGACTTTCTGCCTTTGCTTGTTACTGTGTACAAGTTGAATTTTAATGACTCCATACCTCAAGTACCACACAGTTCATTTCATATTGTTTGGGATCCCTGTGGCCTGGGTCTCTTTATTATCTTCTTGGGTAAATAGGATTCTTGTCTTCAGTCTTGAAAAAAGAAAAGTGAAAAAAACCTAGTAAGTATTGAATTCTACCCATTTACCACTTAAAAATAAGATTCTTATCATGGTCTGTAAAGTCTTATATGATCTGGGATCTGGCCCATCCCTGTCCTTTTCATCTTATCTTTATCATTCAGTTCCTCTGTCACTGTACTCCAGTGACACTGGTCTACTTTCTGTTTTCCCAACATGATAATTTTGTTCCCCTATTAAGTCCTTCCCAATCGCTGGTTCCCTTGCCTGGAACTCTCTTATCAAGATCCTTGTCCGGATCTTCATATGGCTGACTCATCATCATGGAGGGAACCATATAATGTACTGGTTAACAGCACTGGCTAGATTTTCTTAACCTCAATTTTGGTATTTTATTTATTTTTCTGTTAAACTTTCTATTTTGAGATAACTGTAGATTCACATGCAATTTTAAGAAAGAGATCCCTTACACAGTTTCCCCGAATGCTAACATTGTGCAGAACTACAGTACAATATCACAACCAAGATACTGACATTCATACAGTCAAGATTCAGAATGTATTTCTGTCACTGCAAGGGTCCCTCATGTTACCCTCTTATAGCCACACCCACTTCCCTCCCATCCCCACCCGCTCCTTAACCCCTGACAAACACTAATCTCTTCTCCATTTTTATGACCTTGTCATTTCAAGAGTGTTAACATAAATGTAAGCATACAGTATGTAACCTTTTGGTTTTGGCTTTTTTCACTCAGTGTAATTCTCTGGAGAGTCATCCAAGTTCTTGCACCTATGAGTATTTCATTCCTTTTTTATTTCTGCGTGGTATTCCATAATATGTATGTACCAAAGTTTGTTTAACCATTCACCTGTTGAAAGACATCTGGGTTGTAATTTTTTTTTATTCTTTTGAGTACTTACTTTGTGAATAGATAACAATATTCACAAGGTTCCATCTTCAAAAGACATAAAAAGGCAAGTAATGAATGCGCCCTCCCACCTATTTCCCATCTTTCCCACCTAAACAGATAAATGCTGTTATTTTCTACAATATCCTCCAGATTCCCCTCCCTGCCCCCCAAAAGTGAAAGTATAGTTCAGTGAACATTCATATACTTGATACTTGAATCTTGGCTCTACTTCTTAACTTTTCTGCCTTAGTTTCCTTATCTGTAAAATGAAGATGATAACAGTACCTTCCTCATATGGTTGTAATGGGGATTTATCTAAACACATCCATTCATCAAATGCTTATTGAGCAACCTCTCTGTGCCTGGCATTGTTCTAGGTGAGGTGCAGGGAATACAAGACAACCACATGGAGTCTGTTCCCATAAGGCTTCTGTTTTGGGGATGGGAGGGGGAGAGACAAGGAACAAATATATGTTACAAAGAGTAATGCTATGTAGGAAAGTGAAGCAGAGTGGGAAGTGAGGGTACTGTTTTCTGTAGGGTGATCTGGGAAGGCCTCAAAAGGTGACTTTCAGCAGAGATCTGAAGGAAGAGGGAGGGAGCCAAGCTAATGTTTGGAGGAGGAGTGCTCCAGGTGGAGAGACTAGTTGATGCAAGGGTCTGGGGCAGGAATTTGCTCATCATGTTCAGGAACAGCCATGAGGCCAGAGTGAGCTGGAGGAGAGTGGTAGGAGACGAGGGCAACATTTTAGATCAGAAGCCATTGGTTTTGAGCAAAGGAATGACATGACCTGGACTTAGATTGCATTTATTTGCATGTTAGTTTCTAAAAAAATCAAATAGGTAATGTTTGCACATGGTTCAGAAATAAAAATGACATATAAAAAGGACTATAGTGAACCCTATTTCCCACCACTGTCCTCAACCAATGAGTTCCTCTACCTCAAGCATGCTTTTTTAATATTTTATCACTTTGCTAGTTTTGGGGAATCCTTCCAAAGTTCCTTTATATAAATACAAAGCAAATAGGAACATACATATTTTTTATTTTTCTCTTTCTTGCACTGAAAGTTGCATATTGTTCATGTAATACATCTTGGAGTCCTTTCCATATCAGTACTCAGATTCCTTGGGTTTGTTTTTTGTTTTGTTTTGTTTTTGGTGAGGAAGATTTGCTCTGAGCTAATATCTGTTGCCAGTCTTCCTCTTTTTTTGCTTGAGGAAGATTAGCCCTGAGCTAACATCTGTGCCAGTCTTCCTCGATTTTGTATGTAGGTCACTGCCACAGCATGGGTTGACAGTGGTGTAGGTCCATGCCTGGGGTCTGAACCCATGAACCTGAGCCACCAAAGCAGAGTGGGCAAACTTAACCACTGTGCCATGGAGCTGGGCCTCCCCCCGTTTTTTTTGAACTCATGCATAGTTTTCATTGTGTGGTCGTAGATGTATCATACTTACTTAACCAGTCCCAAATTGATGGACACTTGGGTTATTTCCAGTCCTTTGCTATTATGAACTATGCTACCATGAATAATTTTATACATTGATTATGTTGTATGTTTTAGGGTACAGTTACTTGTGAGATCAGTTAGCAGAAATGGGGTTCTTGAGTCAAAGGGTAAATATATTGCCAAATTACCTTCCATAGGAATGGTATAACAATAAATGCCTGTTTTTCCAGTCTTGACAATAATGTGTAAACTTCAGGATTTTGTAAGTCTTTTGGGTGAAAATCATATTTTAATAGTTTCATTTCCCTTAGTATGAGTGAGGTTGAGTATCTTTTGACTTATTTTAAAATGATCACTTTGGCTGCTGTGTTGACAGTAGACATTTGGGGGACAAGGTGAGAAACAAGGAGTTTAGCTGAACCTTTATTGCCCTGGAGCACTTTAACATTTACCAGTGGCAGAGTTGAGGAGAAACCAGCAAAGGAGTCTAAGAAGTGGCCAGGAGATAGGAGGAAAACCAGGATAAAGGTGTCCCAGAGGCAAGTAAAGCCATCACTTTTTAAAGCACTTCACACTATGTCAAGTGCTGCAGATAGGTCAAAAAACAGGAAGAAGTGGGCAGCCTTTAGTAACTTGGGGGGGTCTTAGAAACAGTTTTAGTAGAACAGTGAGATGAAGTCTGATTGGACTGGATGTAGGAGAGACTTGAAGATAGCAAACACAGCTCTTTGAAAGTTTTGAGTAAAAGGGTAAGGGGAACGGAGAGGAGCTGGAGAAGGATGTACAAAAAGAGGTTTGTTTTTTTAGATGGAAGATATCATTGTCTTTGTATGCTAATGGGAATGATTGAGTAGAGAGGAGAAAACTGATGATGCAGGAGAGAGAGGGGATAATTGCTGGAGTGACATCATTGTCCAGGTTAAAAGGATGGGTTCTGGAAGATGGGTACATGGGCTTGGAAGATGGTAGGTTGCCAGATGTTGTGCTGGAAGCACATGAAAGTTCTATTCTGATTGCTTCTATTTTCTTATTGAAATAGTATGACATCAACTGAGAGTAAGTGAGGGAAAGAAGAAATGCTGGAGGTTGGAGAAGAGGGCCAAGGTAGGAGATGTCTCGTTACAGAGTACATGGAGGAAATGTATTATATTTGGTGGAGAACACCACCTTGCTTGAGGTCAGTGATTATGAATTGGGACCAGCCAATAGGATTTTTTTTCCTCTAGCCACATTCAGTAAGTGGTGTAGGCGAAGAGTATAGGTGGATACAATAGGATAATGACAGCAAGGGAGTAAATTAAAGGAATCTCAGCTGGGTGAGGTACGTAAGACATGAGAGGGACTGAAGCAGTGATAAAGGCAGTACAGTCAATGGATTGTAGGTCCTTGTGATGTTTAGAATCGTTGCGTTCAGCGTGTTAGGCATGAACTAGGAAGGCAGAGGTCAGAGTGGGATTCCTGGAATTGGTATCATAAAGAGGAGCAGTTCTAATGGCAAGAGCTAGGATGTGTTCGTGGGAGTGAATGGCTGAGTTCAGGAGCATGATTAAGATCTTTGCAGAAACCAAAGAAGTGAGGGATAAGGTTACTGGAAGGTCATCCACATGGCTAGTTGAAATCACTAGGAATTATGACAAAAGTAGTGTGGTAGTGACCACGAGCCAGGTCTGTAATGAGCAGCAAGTTGGGGCAGGGAGCAGATAGTACATACTTAAAGCACCAGCCTTCAGTTTTAGGGTAGGATATTGTTGGAGGCAGCACTGAGGGACAAGGAGGACACTTTACATCCTTTCCCATCCCCTAGCGTAGTGAGAACTGCAGGGCTGAGCCAACTTTCAGTTAGGCAAGAAGGCGAAGGGAACATTCAATAGGGAGGGGATTTTGTTGAACTCTAGGGGCAAAGTGGAAGTTTCTGCAATTGGGGAGGGGGAGATGGAGGTCAGATTAGGTGATATACATACATGAAGATGAAAATCTGGGTGATGAAGAATGACATGAGGGCTTAAAGGGGTAGTTCCTGCTAAGAAATGGAGGGGTATAGTTGCCAAGAAAACCAAAGCTCTGGGGCCTGCTCTTCCATTCTGCCAGGGATAAAGCACAGGGCCCTCAACTTAAAGGCTCAAAGGTCCTAGTTCAGAGCTGCTCCTCAGAGGGGCCTTGTCTGACAATTCTTACTGCCCTTTCTCCACTCTCCAGTCAGCCTGTTTATTGTCTTCTTTACAGTCACTATCTAAAAATATTCTCTCTCCTCCCTCCCTCTCCGCTTGGGCCTGCTGTGTTCTGGTCACCTGAAATGTTGCCTGGTATGTAGTAAGCCTTCAGGTTCAAGTGAGTGTTTGCCTTCCATTTAGTGTAAAATGTTCCTGTTGGTCCAGACATTCAGCAGATATCTAGTGCTTGCATCAGGCACTCTTCTCTGATGAGGAATAATGTGAACAGAAGTTCCTATTCTCATGGAACTTAGGTTCTAGGGGTGCAGAACTCTCACAGCTCCAGAATTCCTCTTCTATTTTGAAGTACGTGCTGCAGATTTCCCAAACAGCAGGTATAGCTTAAATGAAGTGCAGACACATTTCAGTGAAACCGTTACCTGTTAATTTCCCCAAGTCTATCTTCCATTCATACCTGAGTTGAGTAACTTCATCTGTTGTTAATTTAAAATGTTTCATAGTTGACACCCTGTAGAGTATCTGTATTTTTAACAGAAGTGCGTTGAGGAGGAGCGAGGCTAACGTCCTATCCTATTCAGTCACATCTGAGACTAAGTTTTGATGAAGCAGTTTGTTAAAGGGGACAGCATTCTTTATTTCTCCATTTTGCCTAAGAACTGATGCTGGCAGATTGTGATCTTTTTATCCATTTTTCTTTCAGGTAGCAATTGTTGTATTAGGAAACAAAATCGACCTTTCTGAGCAGAGGCAAGTGGACGCTGAAGTGGCACAGCAATGGGCAAAAAGTGAGAAAGTGCGACTGTGGGAGGTAACAGTTACAGATCGGAAAACTCTGATTGAACCATTCACTCTGTTAGCCAGCAAACTTTCCCAGCCCCAGAGCAAATCGAGCTTTCCTTTGCCTGGGAGGAAAAACAAAGGGAACTCTAACTCTGAGAACTAAAAATCAGTAATGCCACAATTGTTTCTTAAATAGTGATTGCCTTTAAGTGTCTGTGAACATATTTAAAATAGGCCATTCGTATCTATCTTTGGTCCTTAGGAAACCCCTAAGGAAGTAATTTAATACACTTTAGGTTATAATTAAATTATTTGGGCTGAGTTTATTATTATTGCCTGATATGAAATGAGATAATATATTTGCATTCTCATTGTTTGAAACTTGTCCCTGAAATTAGCACCTTTGTTATTTATACTTGTTGGACTTGTCAAAGCAGTAAAAATAAAGTTGGGCTAGTATGCAAATGTACCTATGAGTAGCTTCCCCCTGGTTTAACTTGTTTCACAAGTTATTATTCTCTGTAACTTTATGCAAACTTCTTAGCTCAAACATAACTTAAAGTTTATTAATCATCTCATGTTTAGGATTATAAAATGACATTTTTTGTATGTCCAAGTTAGATCACAAACTAACAATTTGGATACTAAGTAAGCTGAATTTTATCTTGTGGAGATCTTGCTAAATGGAACAAAACCTGTGGTTTAACTTTGTTCAAATTATATGTTTAGCATGACTTGAGCCTGTAGCTGGTGTAAATACGTTCAAACTGTTTCTTCTTTAGAAAATTGCTAAGCACTTAAGGACAGTAAAGCTTCCATTTTCCACAAGGAATCCTATACCTTCTGGAATAGTTTTCTGGATACGTAGTTATGTGGAATAAAAAATGTATCATAAAAATACTGGACTATAGGCAGTCTTCAAGTTAGATATCTGAGTTTGTGCTATGGTTCTTTGCAGATTTTGGCAAGATGTGAGCAATGGGGCTAACTGTATTTAGCAAGTTGACAATACTGCAACTATTTTAAAAGTAGGCAACAAGCTACTTAGTGGTTTCAGTCGTGAAAGCAGTTAACTATATAAATCAGCTAGTGCTACTACCGTATAATTCTTTAAAATTTCTCATCACAAATATATATTTTTGGTCAAAAAAATTATCACTCAGATATGATTAAGTCATTCCCTGCCTTCTCTCCCAATCAGTGAGTGCCGATCTTTTAGCTTTCTTCCTATGTATTTTGGATAAATACTTCTACAATTATTTTTAAATAAGTAATGTACTAGATCATCCTGCAGTTTGCTTTTTCTACTCAACGCAACTTAGATCTATGTTAGTATTCAGTTACCATATTCTTTTTAAATGCTTAATGAATGTATGTGTACCGTTACCCTTTGCACCTGGGTGAGTTTCTCTGGAGGAGATAGAAAGAAACAGAACTGCTGGGTTATAGGATGTGTACACCTAGATCCTGCCACATTGCCCTCTAATGTGGCTATACTAATTGATCCATGAGAGAACCCATTTCTCGTGAACTTGCTACCACAGCATGTGCAAGTTACAAAATGCTTTTAAAAAGATGCAGTAGAGTTCATCTTGGAAAGATGAGGGGTTAGATAGTCTAACCTTTTCTAAGACACCTGAAAAGATTCGTCCTACAAAGCTTTGTATAAATTAGAGTAATGTACCAATCCTGACCTAGGTGCCTGATAATGGATAGGAATTTATTTAGTCTGCATTAACTTCTAGGTTGTTTTGGTAGCAGCTATCTATCAAATTCAGAAGAACGAATCTGCAAACTACAAACAAATGCAAAAGAAAGTAAATGAATACAACAGTTGTTAGATGGTTGTTTTAATATTGTTTATTAGCACAGTAACAAATGCAGACTTAAGTAGTCCACAACATATAACCAATCCACTGAGCAACTCCTATTCCACGCCTTACAGTTAACAGCTTAAGGTATTTTACTACAGGTTTTCCAAGTCCTGATTTAAACCTCTGACCTTTTCACAATGAAGTAGATTGGCATATAAAATAAAATACATAACTACTCATTTCCTATAGGGTGTCTTATAGTCATGTGTCCATTTTACATATATGAGATGACAGTCTCTAAACAGCTGTTAAATATCAATGTTCCCTTCCAAGAAGGGGAAACAAATTCCAATTCTTTAAAACAAAAAGGTGTGTAGTCTTGGAAGGACTTTACATAAATGGCCATGTGTGTAACCTGTACAAAATTAAGCTATTTTAAATTTACAGACTGCAAGCAACTGAACCCAATGTCTGTTCTTCTCTGTACTACATTTCAGCTAATATTGCAGAACTAATGACAGTTTTAAAAGGTACTATTACCAATTCTGTCTACTGTAGCAAGATACCTTAAGTTACAACAAAATCTTAGGAAATAAGACTGAATAATATCTGTTATAGAAATACCCTACTCTTTACCAACTCCCACCCTCCCCCACCCCTTCAAAATCATAAGCAGCTCTCTCTGTGACAGACAAATAATGTAAGAATTGTGAAAACCCAATTTATGTAGCGTATCTCTTGGTCCACTGTCTGGCCATTCTGTCATGTTCTGCTCTGTTGGTCATATACTGAGTGGCAATACTTCCCACCAGGGGGTCGGCTGGAAGAAAAGAATATAGATTACTTTGGAGAAAGGAAAAAAGTTTTAGCAAATGAATTAGTGACAGTTTGGGGAAGAAATATACCAAGTATTTGTGATCAAATCCATCTTTGAAACACTACTCCATCAATATGGATACTCTTCCTTTTAGACTTTAAGAAACATAGCATGCAGAGGGGCAAATTCTTATCACAATAGAATTCGTTTCTCTCCCAAAAAACATCAGCCATTTGGAGGTAAGTTCAATAGAAAGTGGAGTGCTCAAGGCTCCAGACTACAATGCACATCCTTCTGAAGTCCTTGAGGCTGTTGCAGTGTAACATCTTTTACCTCTATGCTGTTTATCTAGAAAGAGCCAGGTTGCAGGTCAAAACCTGGACCTTCAATTAAGTATAGTGTTTCTCTCAAACCTAAATAGAATCTTTAATAATTAAATGTATATTTAGTTTATCTAGGAAAATTTAATTAAGTCTTACCCCCAAATCACAGTCTGGTGATCACTCAGTATTGAGCAAAGAAATATCACGTTCAAAATTGACCATCACCTCAGTAACTGGCTGTGGGGCAGGTGCTCAGTGAACCCACTGGCACAACTGAGGTCAGACAGGCAGATTTAGAAGTATGTGGTTAGTTTTAAGAGAACTGTATGAGAAATATGCAAAAGGGGAGGAAAAAAAGAGGCGGGAGAATGATTGAAAACGTAAGCTAAGGCAAACATGTAAGTCTTCAGTTTAGAACACCTTATTCCTAGAACCTATCAATTAATGAAGTTGCTGCATTTTTTAACTAGTAGATCGGGGTTCTCTTGATTAAAGCTTTCTTTGGAAAATTAGTTTTTGTCCTTTGAAACCTCTAAGAAAAATAAAATCTGTACTTAATCTTTAGAAAAATCTTAGTTTATGTGGAAAACAAGTATTTTTCTGGTGGGGAAAAATAAAACAAGGTAAAGAGCTATTAACCTTACCAGGATTACAATCTGTAAGAAGTGAGCAGATAGAAAGGAGGACTTTAGAAATGGTTAATGCTGGACTCCAATTATCTTTCAATATGTCCAAGCAGATAACTCCTTGACTGTTAATATTACAGTGATAGATTCTTGTCCGAAATGTAACCTAAAAAATGATAGTGTTAAACAAAGTTTAAACAGCAAACAATGAAACTTGTTACTAAATTACCTTTTCAATTGAGTGATCCTAATGAACAACTCTTAGACAGACAATTTAGTTTTTAAAAAGGTGAATAAAGTAACAGTTTAAACCTGCTAAGAGGTTAAAAGACTATTTAATAAATGAGATTAGTAAGTGTTCGTTGATACAATCTCAGCGACTCTCAGTTTCATTGAAAAGTCGTATCCATCAACAAAAGGCAAGGTAACCAGTATTTCTCGAATTCATCTTAGGCAGTTTTAATGTTTTAAATATCTTCCCAACATTTCCAAGTTTGACTAGCTAATTGTTTGCTGACCTCTTGTGTTAGCTGGTAGTACTACATGGCCTCAAAGTAAGCTTTAGAATCATAAATTCAAACAACATACTGGGTGCAGAAAGACAATTAAACAAAATGCTTAGCAAACACACCCAAAAAGCTATAAAAGAAAATTTTGAAGATGAGATTTGTTTCTCCTTTTTCTGACCTTTACATCGATCCTGTAGATATCCTGTCTACCTAAATCACAGAATTCACTATAATGGAGTCTCCACAGGTGAGGAGCCAGAAATGGGTGAGGACCACAGGAGGAGACAAATCAACACGAGTCACATAAGCCTGGGTTATTTTGCTTGGTCTCCTAACTTTTAATTTTTATTTGTGAAATACACTGAACAATTCCAGAGTAAAAAACCTCTATACCACTTTTTGTTTTTTAATGACAGACTTTTCAGTCACTTCCTGCTGCTGTAGTACCTCTAGCAATCTGCCAGCCCATCCCCAAGAAGAGGTTTTCCTTCTGACAGTGGCAATGAGGATCATAAATTGTTGAGTGTTATAGGAGATAGATGATTTGGGCAATACCCACCCATCCTAGATGAGAAAACCAAAGCCTGGAGGTAAGGATTTGAACAAGACCAAAAGATGACAAAGAGCAGAATCGAAGGCTTTTGGTAGATTCTGATTCTGTAATTGTTTTAGTGCATGGATGTTTTGACACCATTTTTAACTGTTCAGAAACTTTTTTTCTGTTGAATGGGAAATAGGGGATTCTGGGTTGCTAGATATGTAACTATAAATAGCAGGATTTTAAGTGCCATCAAAACAAAGCACTTACTCCTAGAAATGGTGTCTGCCAGATAAGGCAAAGTCGACCCAAAGAAGTGTTCTGTGGAAGTTCAAACATACTTGGAGATTAAAGATAGAACAGAAATCTACTTTTTGTGATTAAAAACTCAACGTTTAAGGCTTTAATAGTCTCTGATGGGAGTATGTACATTTTGGCACACATCAGGGGAATTTCTTACCTTTGGAGGCTTGAAGGGATATTCTGGTGTAAAAGTGATATCAAGGAAGAATACACCACCCTCATACACAGATCCTGGAGGCCCTAGAATGGTTGATCTCCATTCATAGATGTTATCGCCTTTGGGACCAGCACTGTGAAATAATATATCAAAAGATAAGTAGAAGGTGGCATCATCCCAGATTCTTACAGTGTATCAAAAAAGGGAAAAAGATTACCACCCTTCTCCTGTTTCATGGAGAGAACTACACATTAAACAAAAAGGAAGTATCTTTCAGACACAATCTGATGCAGGACTACAACAAACTCATCAACCTTCCATCCGGTAAACTGAATAAGAAAAGAATGCTGAAACCATTCTAAGCCTGCTTAGCTGAGAATAAGCAAGAAACTCCTCAATTCTGAAACCTCTCCTTGACACAAGAAAAATGTAAACAGTACTTTAAAAAAAGAGAAACACTTCTCAGCACCCAGAATTATATTTAATTAGTGATAAATTACAGCAGTTTTTGCTCACAGCTACATAATTTCTGATGACATTTTAAGCATAAAAGTTTTGTTTCTGACCCAATGACTGGGGCTCTTCTTCCTTGCTCTTGTATCTCCATAATCTCACCCTAAAAGGAATCCAATAGATTACAGTACTTTTTACATTATAAGCCACGTGGGGTGGGAGGAGAATGACAAGTATCCAATTACAAGTTATTCAGTTTTCATTTCAATGTATTCTATAATCAGGTTCTCTAAATATTATAGTTGGGACATTAATCTATCCCTTGCCTGTTAAATCACTGTTATTCACACTTAGTTAC